GTATCGAGAGTTAAAGCCCACGGACGCGAACAACACTGTCACCCAAATCTGTTCCTGGATTGGTCCTGGCATCTATTAAAAAAATTATATATACGTATATTGCAAAAAATATGTACATTTGTATAATATATGCATAATTTTCATCGTATACTGTTTGTTCGCAAATTGCTCTTAAGTAAAATGATCTTGGAATTCGAGTACGTCTTTTCTTTAACTTGTGTAACGTCTTATAAGCGTTCTTTTTAAATAAACTCCTAGCTGACTTTTGCTAAAATTGTTGTACTTTGTATAATACTGTAGTCTAGGCTTTACTCTATGAGTAGAACTACTGGCTGAGTGAATATAGTTTTGTATTTAGAATGTGTTTAAAAAAATAGGATAGAAAAAGAAGAACATCTTGGCAGATCTAGAAGTAACCTCAAAAAGTAAACATGTAAAAAATACAATAAATATCTAGTTTTGAAGTTAATCCCAGTTTATATTTATAAAGTACCTCTCGCTACGCAACCTGAGCTACCCCCCAAGGTTACAATACTATGTTTAAACTCGAATGAAGGGGTATCTCTAACTAAAAGTAGGTCAGCGATGTTGGTTTCTAATAAAACCGCAAAACGTTTACGTGAAAACGGCAAATGGTAAAACATATATCGACGTAAGTGTGAAACCTGAATCAATTGCTATTGTTATGACATCCCATTTAGAATTTAGAAATTCCACTGCGGAATGACCGCGATGGTGCGCGAAAATCTTATTGCAACAAATGTAGTAAAAACACGATTGCATCAAGACGAATCCGCATTAATAAGTTTGGTGACTCCCTAAAATTGCATTAAAATATATTTATATTTGTCACTACTCAGTGACAAATAAAATTACTGTACTTACAATATTGTGGGAACATACGTGCTTAGTTGTAAAGCTTACAATCACTGAGTTAATACTACTCGTAACGATAACCGCCATGTTGTTTAATAAAATTATATTTTTATATTATATTTGATGATTGAATTTATTAAATGATAATATGAATCAAGGTCGATATAAATAATATACGTGATCGTTTCACAATATAGCCATTAAACCCAAACTTACCAAACACTTACGAAAGAGTATCTATACGGTGTACAATAACAAGTACAGTTCTGTGGAAGCCCAATTCATTTCGCTAATTGAACTTGTTAAAAATAATGACGTTGTAACAACGTCGCTTTGCTTTGAAGACAATTCGAATTCGAACATATATTTATTAATAATACGTACATATAGCGTACATGAATATTATTTTTATTTAAGTATCATGCGACACTTAATACATTTCAGAGCGATTTAAAAACCTTCAACCTCCAATTCTTTTGTTTTCAAAAGTTATTTATTTTTCTTTATTTACCTTTTTTATTTTTTTCAGTCGTACGTAAGTACACGTGTATGTGTCGTAATTCCATATTGTAGATTCTAATTTTAAAGTCTTTATTTTGCCCAAGTGATTTTTTTTTTCGATTATAAAAATCATTCTAAGAAGCTTTATTTATTGTATAACTGCCTCCGTGGCCGAACGTTACCATGCTGCTCTGCCACGCAGAAGTCCCGGGTTCGAATCCTGGACTGGGAAAAATATTTGTATGGCCTACATTTATTTCTCTCGTAAGTTTGGGTGTAATTTGTGGTTGTCTAGTGTGTCCATGGCACTTGCGATACAGGGTTTCCCTAGTGCGGGGAAACCCTCTCGCTAGAAATTTAATCAGAACTGCCCTCGTTGTTTTTTTCCCAAAAGACAGTCTGTCTAGTTTTGAATTCCTCTCAGTTTAGCGAGTCTGTCTTTGAGACCAGTCAATCCGCTGGTCATCTGTGGTGGCTGGACGCTTGTCATCCATGGAGACCGGATGCAACAATAATAAATATATTAAAACCACTGTTCTTAAATATCTAATTTTGAACTGGTTACATTCATAATAGTTCACATACCTATAGAATAGAATAGAATAGAATCGTTTATTTCATGTTATCAATGTCACAATATTACAATTGGAAATACAATGTCAAGGGATAACTATGATCGTCAGTAATAAAATTATAATAATAAAAAACTGCTTGTCGAATAAAATAAAATTAAAATTGTTTCAAAAGAAACTCATCGACACTGTACAATTCAATATCCAATAAAAGGACTTTTAGTCGGGTACAAAACGTTTCATCGTTTCTAACACTTTTCAGGTCTGTGGGTAGATGTTCGTAGAATCGGGGACCTATTACCCGCGGATTTCTAGTTGCAAGTTCGGTACGGTGGGCAACGGATTTTAGTGTTCCCGCGTTTCGTAACGCTCGGCCTCCGCCCGTACGTCGCTCATAAGTAGCCAAGTTTTTACGCGCATAAACTATTATATCACAAATATATTGTGAGTACATGGTCATTATATTGTATTTCTTAAAAAGGTTTCTGCAGGTCTGACCCTTTTTTATGCCTACTATTGTTCTTAGTGCACGTTTTTGAAGAATAAATACCCTAATCGACTCAGTTGAATTACCCCACAGTGTGATGCCATAAGACATCAACGAATGAAAATATGCATAATACGTCTGCCTTAATACCACATTGGAGACAAGAGGACGCAGTTTCCTCAGTGCGTATGCAGCACTTCCAAGTTTTTGACATAGAGTTTGTACATGTGACTTCCAGTTCAAATTTGAGTCTAGCGTTAAACCCAAGAATTTACAGGTGTTACATAATGGAACAATGGAGGTGATAATTGGCTTTGTTATAGAATTTCTTCCTGAGAACAACATAAGGTTTGATTTCGATTCGTTAAGAATAAGTCCATTCGCAGAGAACCACTCACACAGCTGCTCATACGTGCAGGCTAATTTTTCTTCCAACTCGTTGTAGGTTTTAGCACACACTATAACGGTTGTATCGTCCGCAAATAGAGCCACAAGACCCCCTGATATAAAGTATGGCAGATCATTGATGAATGCCAGGAATAGTGTATTACCTAGGGCAGATCCCTGTGGGATGCCAATGGTGACGTCACCAGCCGCTGACCTAGTAGTTGTACCGTTTGTACTGACCTGAACCGTTTGCCGTCTGTTTGATAAAAAAGACTTTAATAGGTTATGGGCGACTCCGTTGACGCCATACACAGCTAACTTTTGAATTAATAAATCATTTTCAATTACATCGAACGCCTTTGTTAGGTCACAAAAAATGCCTGCAGTTTTATACTTATCATCTATACTGGTAATAATAGAATCTACTATATTTTGTGTTGCAACTACTATCTGATAACAAATCGTTCATTTCGAAATGATCCATAATACTTGGTGATATAATAGATTCTATTATTTTTGATATATTCGGAACTATGGTTATCGGTCTGTGGCTTTCAACATGGGTCACGTCCCCCTTCCCCTTAAACACTGGACATACACGAGTACTTTTTAAAATATCAGGATATATACCTTCTCTAAACATTTCATTTATTAAAATAACGAGTATGTCTCCAATCATTGGCCACACCGACATTAATATATTTATAGATATATCGTATATGTCCTGCGTTTTTGACGTATGCCACATACCCCTCACTACCCCCTCCAACGAGTCACGAGTGACAGTTGGAAGGCTGTACTGAGAAACATCGCATTCACCTACACATATAATACACGTACGTACCTACGTACGTACACGTACGTAAACCCAAAACTTTCACAACAACGAAATTAGTTTATTAAGTAAACTAAGTGCCATGTATATTGGGTCGCATCACATCTTCGCCATTAAGAGCGGTACCTCACGAGTGTTGCGTTGTCGCAACGCTATGATTTCAACGCACTGATTTATAAATCCATCGCTTAAAATATAACAAGGAATTAAAAAACTCAAAATGTAAACATCTATTACGTTTGCTCTGAATATAAATAACAAACAGAATGTGAAATTAGATGACATTAAATCGTTATTTCTTAATCTTACGAAATTAAGTAACATAAGTCATTTGTTGCACATTTGGTGACATTATGCTAAGGTTAGAAATAATCACTGAGTAAACTAAGTTTAGACTTAAATTTAATCTGCTCAGCTTCGTTTAGCAACAACTGATATCATTTTACTTCATACCGGCGACCGGTCTAAGGGGTAGGAAGGATCGCGCACTCAACCCAATACGTACGTCTGGTAATTTTACAATTCAGAACCAAGTGCTATGATCCTACCGAATAATTCTATATATAAGCGGCTTGTTAATACAGCGGGACGTGTGATGTTGAAAAAAATGTCAATACCGTTGATCATAGTGTTTTTACCAGTAACCATCAAACTAGCGATGCATCAGCAGTCGATAGATTAAACAAAATAATAAAATTTTAGAGCCCTCTTTTTTTTCCTCACATAGCGCGAATCTCCACAAAATCCCACAAAATCGAGTTGAAATTACCCGCGATTTGGGGAATTCCCCACAAATTAGCAATACTGGTTGCAACTTAATGCCGTTTACTTACGCACCGCAGCATCTGGTAGGATGTATGCATCGCAGGGTCCAGGAGACCCTGTGATGCATACGCGCGACGACGGAACGCGTCGCTTTTACGCACCACGCGGTATGTACGACACAACGTATCGTCACCGCTCAGGTGTCGCAACGCCGCGCCGACGTAACGCGTCGTGTGGCATCGCTCTAACAGATGGTACCATATGAGCCACAGAGCTCTGGAAGGGCACAAACTCTTATTAAATTATGCAGTAGGTACTTACGTGAAAGTTCAATATATTATGCAGGCTGGCAACGACGGCTTCCGAAGCAAAAGCGATAGTGTTATGACCCTCCTCCAATGAATGTATAATTTGCAGCATCTTGGGATGGCGCATTTTTTCCAGTTGTGTGATACAACTTCTAATGCGGTCCAGCATGCTCTCTTTCCGCTTTGGTTTATAGAGCTTGTCAGCTATGCGCTTGTCAAACACGAACACTGAGCACTCCTGTAACAAATATGAATGTCTTAGCGCCCAGTTACACGACGCGAAAGCTTACGCGTGACCGTCGCGTGGCGACCGTCCAGTTACCACACTTTTATGTACATTAATGGCGAATCTGAATTCAGACAGTTAGATTCACGCGGTCGCTACGCGGCGGTAACACGGTCTCCGCGTGGCGAACGCGTGGAGTCCGTCTTGCCTTGAATTCGTGTCAAATAAATGCGCCCTTAGAGTTTTACCCTAAAGTGAATTGACATTGTATTGCTTGTTTTGTTATTTAGTGTTATTGGCCGCAAAATTATAGCCTATTACGAAGACGTCCTTAGTTGTGGTAGGACGAAGTTCTCATGCATCAGTTTTACAAATTTCAAAAGACTCTAATCGACTTATGTTGATTATGTTAATGATTTAATTTAAAGGCAAAGCCAAGTCTTCAATATGAAAAACTACATAATTAGCAAATTGCCAGATCTTGAGTTAAATTGTGTTTGTCGTAGAGTGAGAATGTCATTTTTAAATTATAAGGTAAGTTCGAGTATTTTCTCCAAATCAGACTTCTCCAAAGTAATAAAATCATAAATGGGGATGAAATTTTATGGGCAATCTAACAAGTCCTGTAATGAAGGCGAATAAATAAAAATAGACATTGACGCGCTGTTCGCTGTCATGCAACTGTCATGGCTGTTAGTTGACAGCTAATAGCATTGAATATTTAACCAGAAATAGAGATAAAATAAGGGCCACCCGTCACTGGCAACTCATCAGGCAAATGGGCCTTATATCACCTTTAAGTATAAATTCTCGTTTGCGCTGAAATCACAAATTAGAAAGCTGAAATGTTACAGCGCCACCAATTGACCTGTGTGTCTCCGGACATTCCAAAAATATTTTGCATTTATTGTAACAAAGATAATATCTCTAACAATGAGGGGCAAAACATCTAATTAAAAAACAAACAGATTCACATTTCATCGTTAATTAAATATTAAATATGTAATTTTGCAATTTTCGTCCATTATAGCAAAGCTCACGTTAAACTGCTCGATTAGAAGCGAAACAATTGACGACACCCTTCAATTGTTTCGAATTCGGGCCGGCCAATCAGAACGCAGTTGTCACCGTAAGGATTTGCCAGAATAGTTTTCAAACAAATTAAGGACATTTCGTCTCTATTTCTGATTATATACTCCATGCTCGCTGCTAACAGTTTCGGTTTCAGGTTTTTTAGAGTTACATTGTATAAAAATATTGTTAAGTGGAAAATTTTGTATTCAGTGCGTATTCTTCGATTTGCGTGTCAATGTGTGGCATCGTCAAAGGCAGGCATAAACTATACACGTGTGAAATCAAATTTACTTAATAATGGTTCCGAATTAAGTAACCGATAATAAAAAACAAATGTTGCAATCTTACAAAATCCCACACTTCTAACTTGATTACCCAAGAAATCAGACTCTCATCTCATGAAAAATGTCTTTTCAATCCTGTCATTTTTCAATCCTGACATAAAGACGTTTAGGTGGTTTTTTAAAAGTTCTGAGCACGAAATAATCTCTATGCAAACTAAAAATTAATTCCTTTCTAGGATTTGTTATACGGTTTTTAACTTTTATCTGAACTGATTAATTCAAACGTAGTTTGAATACTTAGCGTGTCAGCAACATTCTCTCAAATAATCATGAAAGAAAATGATCTAGTCATTGACGTCGCGTTCAGTTGGTTGTATCCGGAAGCCAATTATATTATGAAGTGCGCAGGCGTCACATTGGAGGGGAAAATGCGTGCGAATTGAATAGGAGTTAACTTTTTAGTTGTTAGAGAGATATTTTGCTGAAGCACGGTTGTTAACTTCAAGCTCCAGCAGGATTTGGTTTATACGGCAGATTATTTGCACAAGGAAATGATGTTAGTTAGACTAGTTTGACTTTGAAATTTATACTTATTTTAACAAGCTATCTCTCGATAAGAAATGGATCGCTGAACTAAATTTCAAAGTATACTTTTCCTACTGCTTAGACTATTAATGCGAGTAACTTTACCAGTATTTTCCTAATTCATAGGAATGAATATAGAAATAGAAATAGAAATAGAAACCATTTATTGTAACGCCACATTATAAAAAAAAACACAAAAACAAAGACTAATACTTATAACTAAGACAGAAATAACACAAAGAACAGCGTAAAAACATTTCAACAACAAGTTGCATAATACTATACTGACATGTGTGCGGCTGTGGCGTGTACAAAAGGATCCCATTCAGCTAAAGTCACAACCAAGGCTAGGTTGTGACGCTGGTTTTCAATGGGCCCTAGCCGAGTGAGTGAGAGTGACGGACGTAAGCGTCCCGGAACAGATAATAAAATAAAATAAACTACGTAAATACTTATATCTTGAGTGTGTATAGTGTTAGTGCAGTGTGTACTCTTATATCGAATAAATACTTACAGAATCTTTGCAATATATACATACAGGTATAAGTGTGTGTAGTGTGAAAACAAATTAATAAAATATTTAATACATATTTAAAGTACATTACTTCAAATATATTAAACAAGATTATCTATTTTCGTAAAATAAAAGTTCTTTGACTTCAACATTAAACAACTCTTGTTCTTACGCAGTTACTATTTCGAATAATGCTATGTGAATTAACATGTTTAAATGTTTATGATTATTAAGTTAAATAAAAATATACAATTAAAATAACGTATCACTGTTATAAACATCATTCCATTATCATATTTTATTAGAAGTAATTCAATTGACTCTAAAAATAAAAATAAAAGATATAGGAGCGCAAGATCCGCCATATTTGACACTAGTAATAAGATGTTGTGAACTTGTGATCGAGAAGGAAATATTAGCGTAGATGTTTTTATTGTGCTTTGAAGTGTAATTTACCAATTTATTAACAAAACTACGAGTCATAACCTGTTTTGTTCATGAATCTGTTAGCTGCACGGGCGCCGAACGTGTTACGGGAGAAGCGCGGGGAGGGGTCCCTAGCTAACACAATATAAAACAAGACGCGGCCACAAATTAGAAATATATATAGGACGCCACTCGCTCATTTGAAGGCCTAATCTAATTAGGACTAGTGAATTACAATACGCTATAATGTGCAGTTTTATATACCATTATGTAAGTATAACGATTCAATAATTCCGCTTTTGACTTTTACAAATTACTACCAATTGTATAATGATTAATGAATTACTTGTAATATAACATTAATATACACTTTGAACGTTACATAATATTATCGTAAAATACAATGGACTGTTAAATTTAACAGTATACGTAGTGATTTAGCCAAAAAGTCCATGCGGTTTTTGCAATAGCTAACTTAAAAAAAAGCAACTTTTTTCTTTTACAACTGGTGGGTCAATGTTTTGTAACGTTACGTTGTCTGTAGTCATTATAAAATAATATTATAGCGTGCATTTAAGAATAGACGAGACAGGCTACAGTTCATAATTAATGAAAAACATCCTGTGACTCTACAAAGAGTTTACTGGGACAGTTGTCGCTAGCGATCGCGTAAATTACTTTACAATTTTGTATGGCAAATTAAACAGCGCCTTTAGCGGTCACAACAAGAAACAACATTTTGTATACAAACATTTTACGCGGTGGATAGCGATAACTGTCACTGTAATCTGATGGTAGAGGGTACTTAACTGGTAAATCGTAGACGTGTTTTATAAGGTGTTGATAGTGCCAAATGACATACATTTTTATAAAGCTATCAATACCTATTGAAGTAAGATTGGGATAACAGAACAGTAGGAGTAACAGCTCATCCAATGATTAGCCCCATCAGATTTTCACTTATTTCAGTCTATACAAAATTCTTTGAATCGACTCGACTTTCATAATGAAGAGCTATAGAGCTGGATTTATAAGCAAAGACAGGAATTTTTGTGAAAGGGGAATTGTAAGATTATGTACGCGAAAGAAGGCAAAAGATTGTAGATCACCGTGTCTCTCGACATTTCAAAGGCCTTTTAGCTGTAAAGGGTTTGGCATGATAACCAGTTAAATAAGTTTCCAGCTTACATAATTCCAGTTGGTTACACACTACACCACTCTACTCTTCTATATAACTCTCCCAGGTTATTTTTTTGATATTAACGTAGTCTTTACTTTGTCACTTCCCACACTTTTGATTTCACACCTATTATCTTCTCCAAGGCCTCGTAACTCCGACAGTGTGTCCATACAGAGCATTGACTTACAATTATATGGACGTCGGGTCCGCGCTAAAAATTGTCCGAATTTATAGGGCGTTAAAATCGTATACAGAGCGTCATTCACGCTTTATTAGACCCGTCGTCCACTTATTTGTAAGTCAATGATACAGAGTGTTTTTTTTTTAATTGGGACAGTATGGAGAAATCCGAAACCATAGAAGATACAAGGAAACTGTTAAGCCATTAAGCTTTTTTATTTTTAATTTTGGCGTAGCAAAATTTTTTGGTAAAGCGTGGGTTGTCCATAAAATGAATAAAATTGACTTACTTTATTTAACGCTGATGGGCTCAATTTCTTGTAATAATAATTTTATAGTATTGAAAGAAAATAATCGGGCCAGAAGAACTTGGTCAAATTTAATAAAATGTTATTTTATATGAAAAAACCTTTTTAATAAATTTGAGCAACTTCTGCTGTCCCGTTTTTTCTTCCAGTACAATAAGACGATCCTTACATAAAACTAAGTCATTGAGCATAAAAAAAACAGTCAATTTTATTCATTTTGTATGAAAAAAATTCATTAAATATGAATACAATTTTGGTTGTTATGTGGGAAATCAACGCGGTTTAAAATACATCACTTTCACAACGTTCTTACAATCCTTTCCAATTCAACATTTTTTATATTGCTACGCGTAAGTGTATCGAAGTAAGTATGTAGTAGGCATTGCGATTGCTTATTTACAACTATTTAACCCACGATACTAAGAGATGTTTTAAAAGTAAAAGTACATTTGCAGTAACCT